AGGAAATAAATAGCACTGCAAGTCCTGCCTGGCTGCGGCCTAGTGGGTCTGCCTGGAAGCCAGCCAGTCACATGAGCCTGGCTGGCTAAAAAGGGAGCTTGGCTAATCTCCCAGCTCAGGTGTCTCTTCCGGCCTGAGCAGCTCTGCGGGTGAGGGTGCAGCCCTCCCTCACTGGTGGGCGAGGTGGCACAGGGAAGGGCAGTTCAGGCCAGGGAGGGAGCAGCCAATGGGATGGCGCCCTTGCAGTGCTGTCAAGTGCCCAGCTACTGGCGCCTGGGCAGGTGACACCATGGCACTGCCAGGAGAGTGGGGGCAGAAGAGGGCTAAAGGACAGTCTGGCAAAAGCTTCATGAACAATCTTACTCTGGTCAAGGCTGCCATTTCCATTATGCCCTGGCCCTCTGCACATGCACACACACACACACACGCATATGCACACAGGCACACACACACACATGTGAGCACACACATGGATACCCACACATGCGAGGTGTCTTTCTCTCCCACCTCTGTTCCCTGGCATGCTCTCCTGTCCCCACTCACACTTCTCCCAACTCTCATCCTGTCTTCAGCCACACTTCATGACACTCCATTCTCCTCCAGCCCCTTCTGTGAATCTAGCTGGGGCCCCACTTCTCCTTCCCAGGCCTCAGTTTCCCCTTTGGCAGCATGTTTTGAACTGGCCCTCACAGCACTCTGGGCGAGCTAGGGCAGCACACAGGTGAGGGTCTCCTGGGAGAAGAGGATCAGTGTAGAACAATTCCTTTCCTGAAGTGCCAGAACTGGGTTAAATGAGTCAGCAAGCAGAAGACCTCCTTGTGCAGACCTGAGTTCTCTGAAATGTTGGGGAAGGTAAGAGCCTTGTGTTAAGCTCCTGTGCGCATGTCTTCCCACCCAGAGAAGTGTCATGTATGTGATGCTTGGGCACCAAAGCCCCAAGAGTGACTGTTCGTTACAGGATTAGCTGCGTTGAGCCAGGGATTGTGAGGGACAGAGGACTTGTTCCCTGCAAGATGACAGGTGCAGTGTAATGAGAGGGAACACTAGCTACTGCAGGCCACAAGGTGCCAGTGTGATGGCCATGGGGTGGGAGGGCCGAGCACACACAACAGCTCAGATTAGATGATCGATTTTTTGATCCCCTCTACCAGCCCCTTCCCAAAACCAAACCTAAACAACTCTGAGTTTGCATATTTCACAGACTTGGAAAAGCACGGGAGACTTGGAAAAGCACGGGACACAGAGGGAGGTAACAGAATCATTTGAGATTTCAATAACTATTCAAGAGGGCTTGGAATATAGCTCAGCCTGGTATGAGGTCATGAGTTCAATTCCTGGTATTAACAAAAACAAAATAAAATAGATAAAAAAAAAAGAACTGCTCTGGAATGCCAGGTTCTGTGGAGATTACTCCCATGTTTGAGGACAAACTCCTGTTTTCTCTGGTTGAGAAATTTTAAGGACACAGTGGAGGACTGGAACATAGAATCATCTAAGAAACTGGAGTTTATAATCAATTCGATTCTGAGCCAACTTAAGACCAGCGGTCAGCATGGAGCAGGCATCTAGGGAAGGCATCCCAGTGGCCTGGAGCTAGACCTGGGGGTGGAAAATGTTCCTAAAGGATGCTGCGTCCTCAACTTGTGATAATCCAAAGCCATTGACAAAATATGGACAGCGTTTTGGAAAGCTGTTGGGGGCAGGAATGAATACAAAGGTAGCTAGCTGTGTGGGGCAGAGAAAGGGAGCGATGGTCAGACCTTGGAAAGCAATTGCTGTGTGGGAGATGGGAGAGGAGGGAGCGCTGCCTGCCTTGTAGAAGCCCCACCCTTGGTGGAGGAGGCAGATAGCGCCACGTCTGGCCATCGGGAGGAACTAAGAGTGTAAATACTCTGATCTCACTCTTGGGCCATCTCACTCCGGGCCTCTCACTGGCCAAACACGACCAAGAACCACAGGACAAGGGAGTCTGGCTGGTGCAGTGCCAAAGTGTCAGCCTCCTGGGGCACTGACACTGGGCAGAAGGGTGAAGGATAGACTGGAGGGCACCCAGACCACACAGTGCAGTATGAATGACCCTAAGCAGGCAGTCTCAAAGCATCAGTAGACTTTTTTTGAAAGCATGAAGCATGGACTGGTCCTGTGAGGTCCACCAAGGATAAAATATGGAAACAGAGCTTCCAGCTGGGAGTCCTTAGTAGTGCAGGCAGCCTTCCTGGAGGAAGTGGCATATGGAAAGGACTTTGAGGACAAGTGAACAGAGGATTGGGAGTACTTTCCTTCACCACAGCAAAACACGGCTTTGCAGCTCAATCCAACCCAAGGCCAAGTTTTGGATCTTCCATTTCTGAAATTTCACATGGCCAAAACACTCACCTTCCTGTAGCCAGCTATCTGACTCCACATCTCACCTCATAACTCACCTGGGAAGGATCAGTCAGCCTTACCTGCCTGTCTTCCCTGCGGGGTTTCTTCTACTTTTGAGAGAGAGCACTTGCATCCTGAATAAGCAGCCCACTTGTTAGTAATGATTCACTGGAATAATAAGCAGAGAGCATGATGGGAACTCAGGCCACATAGGTAAAGAGAGTACGCTTCTTACTGTGGGAGAGCTCATATTATAATAGATCTTGGAGACACGTAGAAAATTATCAGAGTATTGGGTAGGAAGCCAGGGTGGTGGAGCACATCTATAATTCCACTACGCTGGGAGGCTGATGCAGGAAGATCACAAGTTTGAGCTGAGTCTCAGCAATTTAGAGACTGGGTAAGACCCTGCCGCAAAATAAAAAATAAAAAGGGGGGATGTAGGGGCTGGGGATTTAGCTCAGTGGCATAAGCGCCTGCCTTGCAAGCAGGCAGTCATGAGTTTGATCCCTGGTACCGATAAAAATGAAAAAGACAAAAACAAAAACAAACAAACAAAAAAAGGGGGGGGGGATGTAGCTCAGTGCAAAGATCCTGGGTTCAATCTCCAGTATCACTAAATAAATAAAGCACAACAAAACCTACCCAACCAACAAAACAGCAAAAAAGTGTGCTTGGTAGAAAGAATAATGAAAATATGTGCAAAATTCTAGGGAGACAGCAGAGAGTGTGACTAATTCCCAGAAGTGTTAGGAAAAAAAAAAGCTTCAGTGATGCAATATTTACATTGCAAGTCCATTAACAAACAGGATTTGCAAAGGACAGAAACTCCTGGAGAGGACTTCTGGAAACAGAAGATGGTGAAAAACAAGGTAGCCAGAGCATGGGAAGGTGGGAATTTGGGTGGCTGAAAGGGATGTTATGGTCTTAGTAAAGGCCTTTTCCAGTTAGGCTGGGAAATAAGAAGCTATAGCATATTCTCCCAACAAGAAGCAATTTCTTTTGCGAAAGGTAATTCACAGCCAGGAATGGTGGCACATAGTTATAATCCCAGCTCCTCTGGAGACTGAGGCAGGAGTTGTTGCAAGTTCAAGGCCAGCCTAGGCAATTTAATAAGACCCTGTCTCAAGATAAAGCATAGAAAGGGCTGAAGCTATTGCTCACTGATAGAGCACCCTTGGGTTTAGTCCTCAGTACCATCAAAAGAAAGATAATCTAATAGGAAGAATTGGTACTTGTCAAGTACAAGTGATGGGACCTGAGTTGAGTTCTGCCCCTCTATCCTTACCCCTGCCCTCTGCTCTGCCTCCACACCACATCCTGTCTCCTTACCTTCCTACAGAGAGCAGTTATTTGAAATTTGTTGCTGCTCTGGCTTTGCATTAAGGCAACAGGGCCAGCTGAATGAGACTATTTCTTTGTTTAGGACAGTGTGGTAGAGAACATGCAGGAAGCATCTTCCCTTTGCAGTAATCCATTTTCTGTTGCTATAAGAAGATACTGTATACTTGATAAAGAAAAGAGACTGATTTATCTCACAATTTTGCAGGCTGAAAGTTCTAGATCAATCAGGCAGCCCCATGTGTTCAGCCTCCAGCAAGGGCCTCTGATTGTGCCGAATTGCAGAAGAAATGTCATGGCTAGTGTGCAGGGGGTAGGCAGAGACCACTTAGACAGGAAGCCAGAGAGACTGGGTAGGGACCAGTCTTGCTGTTTGCATACAACCTTCTCACAAGAATGAACTGGGACCCCTAAAAATCCCTTCCAAAGGCTCTTTTCCAATGGGCTAAGGACCTTCCACTAGGCTCCACCTTTTGAAGGTCCCATTACCTGTTAACATCGACATACCAGGAACCTATCTCCTAGCACAGGAGCCAGAAGGGGACATATTTCTAAGCCACCGCCCTTCCTCCAGCTTTTACCCCATCCCTGAATTTGATGACCAAAATAGGATGAAATCTTAAGTGGAACAGCCAACTTGTGGGACTTAGGCCCTGCCAATTTTAGAATCATCAGCCAATCCCACCTTTTTGGCCTTCCTGGGGGCTCATTCCAAACTTTATGGCTGTTCCCCCAGGTCTTAGCTGAAAACACCAAAAATAGGCCAACTCTTTCAGATTTAATTAGCCATTCCTCTGAGGACAGCAGATAGAATAAAGCAGCGACTGATGCACAGGGGTAAGCAGGGTGGGAGTGGACTATAAGTGAGGTTCAATGACCCCAAACTCACCACTACAAAAGCTGCTTCTTAGAGCCTAGAGCTCAGGGCAGGTGAAAGAGCGCTGGTCTTGTGCTTGCGGGCCAAGGTGTGGCCACTGCTCTCAGGCACTGGGTGCACAGGAGAGCTGGCAGAGGCAGTGAGGAGACAGGCATGTGGAAGGGGTGCTGGGGCAGCTCTTGGGGTGGCGTGGGGGGTGCATTTCTCCAAGGAGGAGGAACCACTGATTCCTCTGCAGGAGCCAGTGGATGGTTGCCTGAGGACTTGCCCACTCCAGTCTGGCTCCTATCTCAGGGGCTGTGGGCAGCCAGCAGCCCACACTGAGAGGCTCGTGACAGCCGCCCAGTGAAGTGTGGAATCTATTTCTGGAGCCCATTAGAAGTGGGTGAAAACTGCCAGTTGCCTAGAACCAAATGATCTATGCAATGCCTTTCGCATCTGAAACACAGTGGCCCGTGCTGAGTAAAATCAGGGAGCACTTGGTCCGGGGCGAGATAAAAAGGTCTCCACCTTTACTCTGTTATCTTCTTGGTGCTCTGAAAGACCACCGATGTGGAGCAACTGCACCTCCTGGTGGCGGATATGGGGATAAAGTTCCAGGGTAGTTTATTCCACCTCCACCAAGTTTGGGCAAGGCTCCAATATTGGGAGCCTGAGGTGTAAGTCCAAAGTCGGTTCTTTCTCTGGTTCTCCTGATAACAGTCATGGTCCCTAATCAGGAGCTTCTTTCAGGGTTGTGGATCTGCTTGGGCTTGGGGAAATCACGGAGCAGCGCCCTGACAGGTATGGTTCCCGTGACAAACTAAGTTGTTCTTCCTTTTCACAGCACAGAAGTGACGAAATGGTCTGCTGGATGACCTTTTGGAAGCCTAGCTGTTTCCAGATCTACAAGCTGGAGGTGAGGCTAGATGCGTTGCCTGCTTCCCAAGAGGCTCTGAGATCCAAAGTGAACGGCTGGCCATGGTGGGGGACAGAAGGGGGTTGCAGTCCCAGTCCCATTGGGCCCATTGCCTGGGTGAACTTCCCAGCTCCAAGACACCATCACTGTCACTCACACTGATCCTGAGACGCCTCAGTGGCTCAGCCCCTCGTGACTGCCTGCCCCCTTCATCACAGTTGGGAAGTCACCTTTTCCAGCTGCCCAGAGCTGATGGCCAGGGAAGGATGAAGTGACATGATGATTATGGCACTCTGGCTGGAAAGATGGGCCTATTTGTTATTGTTCCTGTTGCCACTTAATAATCTGCATTATTCATATTTATTTTTAGGCGTCTTACGGACATTCCTTTTATAGGCACCGTGACTTTATCCATCGGACACTGGATGCTATTGGCGGGAAACAAGCTAGAAAAACACAGTCTCATTCTCCTTTAGGGAATACATGATAACGGCTGAGTCTCTTCCCACAGGTTGGTTAGTGGAGATTTTACTATACATACTTTCTTTTCGGTGGAGTTTGCAGGCCAAGGTCTAGCAATTGCTCTTGGGTAGCGGGCCTAGTGGAGAGAACTGGTGTCACTTTTCTATTCCTTCCTTCTTTGTTTTTTATTTGCTTTCTTTTGGGGCTGATATCTTGAAAACAAGTAAGAAGTCAGTTTCCTGATCTGAGTGATCCCTTTTTTGGGTAGGGGGACACTTGGAAGCAGTGCTGTATAATGCATTTAAAAACTGCCTTCACGTATTAGTCTTGTCCAGGGATGTAGCTCAGAAGCAGGCAGCACCTGCCTGGCAAGCATGAGGACCTGAGTTTGATTCCCAGTACCAACAACAGCAACAACAATGACATCCAAACAATAATATAAGAACAGTTAAAAAGTAGTAGTCTTGTGCGCAGTATAATGGTGCACACTTGTAATCTCACCTACATAGGAGACTGAGGCAGAAGAGTCACAAATTCAAGGTCAGCCTGGGCAATTTAACAAAATCCTGTCTCAAAATACAAAATAAATTGGTTTAGGGATGTAACTCTGTGCCAAGGCCTTAGGCTCAATCCTTAGTACTGCCAAAAAGACAAAAAATAATTTTATTAAGTGTACCTCAAAATAGTTTTCTTTGTGGTAAAACATATACAATGTAAAATTTTTCTTTTTTTACTTTAAAGAAGGTAAAACAAAACAACAAGACAGAACAAAGCAGATCAGAAGAAAAAAATGTGACACAGGATTTCAAAGCAAGATAACAGGAGATCAACAGTAGCTACCATAATGTCTCTTGTTTTCTTCTAAATAGTTGTTTATATCTTCACACACAATGAATTCATACAAAATAAAATAGTATTAAACTGATCAGAAGAGAGTGATGAAGGAATTACGGAACTTCAAAACCAGACAATAGGAAAATTAACAGTGGCTGCCATAATGTCTCTTGTTCTCTTCAAAACAGCTGTCCATACCTTCATGTATGTTGAAATTAAACAATACAAAACAGACTAAAACCAATCAGAACAAAAAATAGAAGCATTACTGGGTTTCACAGCATGACGATAGGAAATCAGCAATGGATACCATCATATGTCTTTTTCTTCAAAGTAGCTGTTCATATCATGATGTCTAATATAATCAATTTAATTCTCATAAACTGTTTAGGAAAAGTTCTAGGCATTCATAAGCCTCTACATGTAGACCTATCCTTTCTGTATTAGAGGGAAAAACAAAACAAATTACTAGAAAAACAAGAAACAAAAAAGACAAATAAATAACAATAGCAAAGAGCCCAAAACAATGACAATATAGACCTTTAAGACAAGGTGGTAGGAGCAGAACTAAGGTTGTTATTTTACATAATGATCATCAAGAGTTCCTCAGATCACCAGGCACAAACATGCAAAATTGATCCAATCCTATGAATGTTAACTGTTTTCTTCCAAGAACTAAAAGAATTTGTTAGCTATTTTGTGTGTTTATACAAATTTAGATATTTTTATTTTCCCTTATACAATTTTTCTTTGTAACCATTTTTAAGTGCACAATTCCGTGACCTTCAGTACCTTTACAATGTTGAGCACCAGTGATCACTGCCCGCTGGTCTCCAGAGCTTCTCTTTACCTGCTGTGGACACTCCATACCAAGCCTGTTTGTAGCACGGGACTCAATGAGAGGCAGTGGGGGTCCAGCGGTCACTCCTCCTTTCACATTCCCTACCCTGGACACACAATGGTCATGGTGTTCCAGCCCCTCTTCAGGACAAGTCAGCAGAGGGACACCGTAGAGGGACACAGGCTGTGGCTGCCTCTGTTTCCTATTGTCAATCCCAGGATTCTGTAGCCAGCAGACACTTATACCCCTTCCCAAAGCCAAGCCTCAGCCATCTGGTAGCCTAGCTTGGCCCTGACACATAATTGGCACTCAGTGTCTTTGAATGAATGAATGAATGAATGATGTAGATGGGTCACCACCTTTTGGGAAAGAGACTTTGTAGCTGTGCTTGGTGAGAGCGAGTGACAAAGGCATGTGTTTTCTTCAAGTGCTCACCCTGTCCCTCACTAAGTGTGTGGCTTGCTTTGCTATTGGTATCTTGGTTAAATCACTAGAATAACAGTCTCTGTCTGGGGCATGCAGTTTGAGTGGGGCAATGTATCCAAGGTAATTTAGCTTACAAAGTAGAAGCAACAATTATATTAGTTCTCTCTCCCCTCCAGAGAACCTCTGGCTGCTCCTCCCAAAAGGACTTTCCTTTTTATGATGTCAGTTCCATCTCCTATTGTCTCTTTCACCAATTCCTGAGAAAAATGATCGGCCCCATTACCCAAGCCATACCCTCAGCCCTTCCAGACTGGGAGGCTAACGTCTCAGTGTGAAAGAAGAATGTCCACTTTCTTCGTCTTTATCAGAATTTGAGCCTCTTGATTTCTATGTGATTGGATGGACTTAGGTGATTTATTTCCTTTGTCTGTTCTCTTTCTTTCTTCTCCTGTCTCTATGCACATCTGTCCCAATCCATACACAATCATGGTGCAGCCCCCTCTTCCCATCCTCTGTACTAGAATGCTCTTTGCTCTTTCCAAATCCAAGAACGTGGCTACCTTTACCTGGAACAGAGGACATAATGCTTACCTCGGGTTCCCAGGGTTTACATAGTAGCCATGACCCATCGGTCACTCTTTGTAATGCTTTTTTCAATTACTCCTTCATTGCAATTATTTGGTACCTTCCTCTCACCTACAAATTCTAAGATTGATGGGGCTCTGGATTTAGCTCAGTGGCATAAGCACCTGCCTTGCAAGTGCACAGTTGTGAGTTCGATCCCCAGTAACAAAATCAAAACAAAACAAAACAACAAATTCTAAGATTGGGTCATGGAGTGAAGAAAATCAAGTGATCTAGCAAAGATCTTATGTTTTGTTAGATGTATGACTCTCTACCATGGGATATCATTGAAAGACTTAAAACTCAGTGGAAAGGCTCTAGGAATGGTGGTGCATGCCTGTAATCCCAGTACTCAGAAGACTGAGACAAAAAGGTCACTGCAAGTTTGAGGCCAGCCTGGGCTACAAAGTGAGTTCAAGACCAGCCTGAGCTGCATAGTAAAACCCTGTCTCAAAAAGACAAAAAAACAACCAAACAAACATCCAAAAAACCAATCTTTCCTCAAAAACAAAACAAAACACCTCAGTGGAAAGTAACACATATAAATTTCAAATAAATATCCATTGGAGCCAAGTGTGGTGGTTCACATCTATAATATAAGCACTTTGGGAGATTGAGGTAGGAGGGTCTCAAATTTGAGTCCCTCCCAGACAATTTAGTGAGTGTCTGTTTCCAAATGGGGAGGGGGGGAGAACCTGAGGATGTAGCTCAATGCAAAGTCCTTTTCTTCAGTACAAAAAAAAAAATTCATTCTAGAGCAATGTTTATTCAAGAGGCTTGCGGTAATACGGATTTAGGAAATACGGGCCTATCATGAAATGTGATGGTGGATTTTAAAACAATGTTTTAGAATGACTGCAACTAACTTCTCCATCCTCTTATTAATCTGTCCTTAAAGATCAAACTTCTCAAGAGGGTGTTCTTGGTTTTGGGTCCAAAATTGCCTGAAGATCTTCTATGAAGCACTAGGGAGTCTGGCCTATTTCTCTGGGCTGAGGGAGCCATGGAAGGTGTTTTAAACCCTGGAATAGTGTGATGAAATTTCTAGTTAAGTTACTGGGGTGATATTAGGAGAATGAATTGAAAGGGGAAAACCCAGAAGCCAATCAGGAGGCTGGTACCACACTCCAGATGGAAGCTGGCAGGGCCCTGCAGCAGAGAGAAAGAGAGAGAGAGAGAGAGAGAGAGAGAGAGAGAGAGAGAGAGAGAGGAAACAGCAGGCAGGGAGGTGGGATGAATTGGAATTGGTAATGTTTGAATGTTGGGATGAGAAACAGTAAATAGTAAAAGCTGGCCTCCTGCTTCTACCTTTGGCAATCAGATGGAGAACAGTACCGAACAGCAGAATGAAGGAGTATGCATTTGTGTGCTACAGATGATGAACTCAGTTGTGCGAATATTGAATTTAGGTGTTTGGAAAGATCTAGTGCATTTGCCAGTGTATTTGGCTCCTGGTTTCAGGAGATTCAGTCCATGGTAATTTGGCTCATGGAAGGCCGAGGGACAGCAGAGCTACTTAGCTCATGCTGGCTGGAAAGCAGAGCAGAGGAGCAGTATGAAAGCAGAGAGGCCCAGCACCAGATGTAGACCCCAAAGTTACTCCTCCATCAACCACCCAGACACATCCATTTGTGTGCTTTCTAATCCCCTGGGTGGCTCCCAAACCAATCAAGTTGATAGTTTAACTGTCACACCTAGAAACAGAAGTCTACTGTGGATATAAGTTCAAGAGAAATATTTGGCCTGTATTTGTAGATTTGGGAGTTATAGGTGTGGTGTGAGCCAGTAGTTGAAACTTGGGAAACAGCACAAACGATTAGACAGTTAAGGGTGGAGCCTGAGAACACACTGACATTTCAGAGGTTGGCGGGAAAGAAGAGCTGTGGAAGGAAATGAAAAGTGGGGGAGAGATAGAGATGTAAAAGCCAGAGTGATATCTTGCAAATCAACATAGGAGAGAAAAGGATTGGTTCAAAGTGTAAAATCCAGGAGGGGGGCCTAAACTGAGTGTATATGCTTAACAGGAGAAGGAAAACTCAAAGAAAACTGAAGGAAAACTCTCTCTCTCTCTCTCTCTCTCTCTCTCTCTCTCTCTCTCTCTCTCTCTCTCTGCTGCAGGGCCCTGCCAGCTTCCATCCGGAGTGTGGTACCAGCCTCCTGATTGGCTTCTGGGTTTTCCCATTTCAATTCATTGTCCTAATATCACCCTAATTACTTAACTAGAAATTTCATCACCTATTCCAGGGTTTAAAACACCTCCAAAATCAGACTTCAAAAATCAGACTTCCAGAGAGTTGAGTGATCAGGAGGAGAGGAACTGGAGACAGAAGAACAATTGCAGGACTCCTGCAGGGGGTTTTCTAATGAAGAAGGGAATAGGAGAAGCCAGGCAGGCGGCAGACAAAGGCAGGGCTGAGGATAGAAAGGAGGTACTTCAGCATGTTACAGATTCAGAGGAAGGAGTCCTCTCTGAGTGTGAGTTGCTACTCAAAATCCAGCCCCCTACCCCAACTGTGTGGTGCACTCCCATAAATCCAGCAGCTTGGGAAGCTGAGACAGGAAGATTCCAAGTTTTAACTCAACCTGGGCAACTTATCAAGTAAGAGAGACCATCTTTAAAAAATGATTGCGGTAGTAGAAGGACTTTTGAAATGTTAAAGTAAGCCACAGTAAAACATCTTTGATTGTTGTCTCTTCCCTACAGCAGCTGTCAAAGACTTCACTCTTTAAAATCATCTTGACTGTTTAAACAAACCAATTACTTTGCAATGGACCATTAAGATTTTTGAAGTCAAGTCTTTCTTCCTCTTGGCTAGGAGCCAAGCAAATAAACTTTCCAAGTGAGACACACCCATGGCTTCTCCTGATCATCCCCATCTTGCATTGGCCCATTAAAAGCAGATCTCCTTCATCTTTCCAACCGGTCAACTTGTGATGGTAACATGGGGTCAGGCTTTGGGTGTCACACTTTCCTCTGGGATTTAATTCAAAGGGAGTGCTCTCTCCATGGAGAGTTTAAAAACCTGAGCTATAGCCCAGCACAGGGACCTGACAGAAAGCAGAGGAGAGGGATGTGTAGGGAGGTGTTGCCTAAGTCAGCACAAGCCCTCCTCTAGGGCTACTGAAGGCTACGCTGGGGCTGAGGGCAGAAGGAGGTCCTGGGGCAGCTGACAGCCTCCAAGGTGAAGAGTCCTAAAAAGGAATGAATATGAGCCCAAGCTTAACAAGCAGGAGGCAGGGTGGGGGTGGGGGATTGGAAAAGCAAGAGGCTGAAAGCAAGCAACCTAGTTAGCGAGCCGGTGGAATGTTCTAGATGAGAGAAAACTAGGACGTTGGCAAAGGGGATGGAAAAGAGGACAGGATACAAGAGGGCTTGCTGAGATAAAGTCAGCAACGACTGCCAACCAGCTCAACATGGGATTAGGAGAGAGATGGATAGGAGGACAGATCTCCTAATACAATAAAGAGAGAGATCATAAAATTATCATTCTCCTCCAACCTTCTGGAGTCTTCCTCAACAAAGCCATGCAAGAAAGGCAAGGGTGGGGTGTGTTTTTCTCCTTTCTGTTTCTATGTGCAGGGGTTAGGCACATGCAGGGTAGTAGAAAGAAGACTCAGAATTGTTCTGTGCAAAAATTCCAGGAGGTTCCGCTGAGGGCCAGTTCCACAAATGTGAGACCCACACAGTCACATAGGAACCCATACTTAGAAGGGACTCGTATTTGGTTTAATGGTCTGCTGTCACTAGCTTGAAGTTCTTCATAATTTCTGCAGGAAGAGCTCTGCAGAACTGACATGGTGGTGAACACCTGCAATCCCAGCACACTGAGAGGCTGAAGTGGGATGATCTTAAGTTTTGAGTCCAGGCCAGGCAACTTAGTGAGACCTGTTTCAGGGAAAAAAAATTAAAAAGAGTGGGGGAGGTAGGTCAGGGCAGAGGTCTTGGGTTCAATTGCCAGGAACCCCACAAGATAACTGGTACTGAGGAGAGGTAAGAGACGAAGGAGGCCAGTCCTTGGACAGTCTCAAGGCTGCTGAGATGGGAAGAGCATGAATAAACATAAATTCAGAATGAACGTGATCAATAGCAGCACCTCATAGTCTGTTTCACAGAACAAATGCACGGCGAACATTCATAGCTGTGTCTGGTGCGTAGTGCGCGCCTCGGAAGAGTCTGGTATCATTATTTTCTCCCTGCACTGATTCAGCTCTGACAGCGTGAAGTGGGTTATTCACAGGGCCAAGGTTGACTTTGCGCATTTTCACATTTTCAACCTGCCACTCATCCTCCAGTCCGAGGCTCGTGAGTACCCTTTGAAGGACAATTAAAGCTCTGACAATGACAGTTATTATAGTAAATAAATGTGTGATATCATATCCTCTCTTCTTCCTTAGCGTAGCTGGATCTCTTTGCGTCTGCAGGGGAATTTTTTTTTTTTTTTAAAAACTCAATTAATTAGAAGTACTCTCCCTTGGCTCTATTTTTCGTTTATCTGCCTTTTTTGTTCATTTTGAAAGGGCACTTAAAGCACCTTCCTCCCCCTCTCTCCCCTTTTCCTCAGCTCCTCAAGGGGAGGGCAGGATCTAAAGAGCTGTGTCACTATTGTCATCAAGATAATGGCTCCCCCCTTCCCTCCTCCCCCGTCATTCTCCTGAAGGAGGCAGGAGCTCAACTGTTGTCCTTAGAGCTCAGCCCCTAAATGCTAGCCCAACACCTCTGTTCCAAGAGCCTGTTATCCCCATGGATGTCTGGCAGCTGCCCCTCCTACCCACCTCCTATCCTTGAAGTTCCCATTCTCAACCCAGGGGACTTTCTCTTCATCCTATGGTTCCAAGTTTGCAGGAACTACATACTTTTTTCCTTGGCAGAAATAGTTGTGGTTTTCCTAATAACTTCTCAGTTCCCCATAGAGTTGGAAATTCCCTTCTTTGTTACAGCTCTTGATAGATGCAGAAGCAGTGTCCGGTGCTGTCCTGTCTTCCTTCTTGCCTGCTGGGTGACCTGGGCCTCAGATCACAAGGAGTATCTGGGTTGGGAGGTAGATTAGAGGATGAGAAGGTTCAAGAACGAGTTCATTTTCAGAAGATCATGAAAGAAGGGTTCTACAAATGTCTCCAAGGAGAGAATAGCCATTTGGGAAACTACCCAGCCATGTGTATTCTTCATCTTTGAACAAATGAGTTTATGCTTTCTATTGCTAATTCCTGTTTCTCCACCTATGTCTCCACACCTCCTCCGCCCTCCACTGTGGGTTCCACTGTGGGCTGATAGAGCAGATACGTGGTATTCTCCGCCTCCCACTTGCCCACATGCTGATGGGAGGCCCTAGATAAATAGAAGGCAGAGGCAAGGCTGTGGAATTATTATTATCATTATGGCGCTGATTATACTTTCGGTATGAGAAAACAGGAAGTGAAACTGCCCGGTAATAAATGCCTGGCCCCATCTTCTTAGTTGGATCTAAAGTGTGTGTAAGTGTGTGTATGTGCATGTGCATGTGTGTGAG